GGATGCAGTGAGAATGTGAGAATGTGTACTCAGTATGGTGCACAAGGTCATGTTAAGATAAAAATACCTAGTAGCCTTTTATGGATCATCTTTTGAGTTGGGCCTGACACTTGATGAAGTGATCTGTGTGCATTGCTTGGACATTTTCACACAGTTCTTTTAATTGGAACTGTTGACATTTTTTGAATATTTTAAGCGCAATGATAATATCTTCCAGTATGACAGGACAGCATCTTATATCCAGTTAAATTGTTTTAATAGATATACACATGTAAATTCATCAAATTATATTATTCTGTAAAAGTTTCTCTGTTTATTGGACATGATAATGCTTTTAGGACAACACTGTGAACCACTCTGCAACCTTCCCTTAAGCGTGGGCCAAATAGCAGAGATGCCATATGCATCCAGGCATTCTGTATCACCCTTTTCATTGCTTCCCCTAAATAAATCTCGCCCTCCTCAATTGACAAGCCAAGAATAAAAAGGGGACACACACCATGGGGTGTAACTATAGAAACAAACACACCAAGCTTTTTATACTTTGTTACTCCTGGATTTTACTCACATTCTTCTCATGGTGAAGAAGTATACTGTAAAATGTCAAGACCCATGGACTGAAAAATCAGATCTAGATCATGAATCCAAATGTATTTTATCAAGAGAAACTGCTAATATTAATTCCTGAGCCATATGAGAAATTGAACTACCTCTCCAGCTTTAGGAGATTAGTGATAATGAAAGAAAAACATCTTATAAATGCGTCCGTTCTTGAGCAGAAGCATGCCATTCCGTAAGCCATTAGTTTGCCATCGTCCAATTTAGATATTAAATACATGACATGCCTTTAATGAGAGTCTAAGGTAAACAGAGATAGGTGTTGGGTCGAGGCCAGGCCCTGCTTCCCAGGATCAACTCTTCATCCAGGGGACAGCTAATGATGACAGCAGGCAGTAATGACCTTATGATAGATGGAAAACAAAGCCCAAGTGGATCACATCCCTGTATCCCTAACAACCACCCAGGAAGAAGACAGGATTTGCTTACTTTCCTCTCGGTACAGTTGTTACGTCTGTCAAGATGAAGCCACGTTCAGATCCAGACTGCCATTATTCTTGTATTGCTGTTTAGAAAGATGTTTTCCTTAAAAAAAGTACTTACGTTAAGATGTGTTTTCTTTTTCTTTTTTTAATGACACATTTGTTATAATGTTGTCAACATCTCAATAATGTGGCCGTATGTCCTTTTAGCCATGCTCTAGGGATGGCATTGTTGGTCAGTCAGGCCTACACTTTGGTCCAGACTGACCAACAATGCCATCCCTAGAGCATGACTAAAGACATAGAACTTTTGGATGGATTGCAGTGCAATTTGGTACAGACATTTATGTGCCACTCAGGATGATTTGTGATAACCTCGGTGATCAAACAGAAGATAGACAAAATTAGCGACTAGCTGGAGAACATAGTGCAGCATAAAGAGCTACATCCAAATATCCTCAGGAGCTGGTAGAGACAAAAAACAAAGCTAAAACTTGGTTTACATTATACCTATACTAAACATCAGCATACTAGCATTATTACTGCGCGCACGTTAGCATGCTGATGGTAGACTTTAGCTCAAAGCACCGCAGTAAGTACAACCTCACAGACCTGCTAGCATGGCTTAGATTCTGTTTTCTTATAATTTATCAATCCCAGAGGGGAGATGTATTAGTTCTCTACATTTAACCCATTTCAATTGGGAGCAGTGAGCAGCTATTCGCAGCGCCGGGTGAAGCAGTTAGGGGTTCAGGGCCTTGCTCAGGGGCACTTTCGGGAGTGGTCATAGCTAGACTCGACACCGCCGACCCTCGGTTCCAAGCCATGTCCCCTCGGACTAGGCTAATGCGGCCTTCAAATGACAAAAAAATTATATAAAACAAACCAACCAAGGGGAAACAAACTCAGTTATACAGTCACAGCAATCTTAAGATCCTACACATTTTGTATAAACACTGCATATCTGTCATCATTTGTGTATCACAGGTTGTAAATATGATCTAATATGAAAATGTGATATAATATAGATTACACTAAAAGCTCAAGAATAAAATAAACACCATATAAAAATAAAATTAAATATATTCATGTAATTATTTAAAAGAATAGGCAATACCACAATCCACAATTGACCCTTCGCTAAGCCATGCCCCCCTTAGTTAATGACAAACCGTTGGACCTGTCTGACTTTTATCATGGCGCTGCCACTGTCTATTAGCAGTAGGGCTTTATAACATTACATTCATTAGTAAGTTAGCTAGCGTTAGCTAACTAATATTACATTAGGAACAACAAACAGCCTACATTTTTCTGGATTTGTTTTATTTTTTGAAAAGAGAATAAATCGTACTTCTCCTTTTAACCTCTCTGTGTAGAGTGTAATTATTACACATGACCCAAAGAACAGCGTTTCACCATATCTTGGAAAAATACAGCAAAAAGAAGAAAAAAGAGGCTTGAAAATGATCCTTTTGAATAGGAGTCAATGGAGCGCAGCCACAAAAGTGTCGGACCTCAGTTGGAGCGAGTCCTATACTGCGCTGTGATTGGCCAACTTGTGTTCTGGGCGTGGCTTAGCGAAGGGTCAATTTAGCACACTGACGGAAGCTTTAATGGAGGTTTTCCCTTAACAAAAGTAGATTTTGTAATCATTCTTCACATGCAGAGCATGTCCATAACATTTCACTGAAGAACATCTCAACCAATCATTCAACTGATGAACAGCTCAGTCCAGCTGTGCAGGAAACTTGTAGATGTGTATATCTGTCACTGTGCATGCGTGCGTGTCTATGTGCCTAGAGGCAATACAGAAGGTCATCTACATGTGAAGGTGTGCAGCATCAGAGCTACTGTACCGAACAGATGCATAACTGTTAGTGGAGTTCCACTTCCACATACAGTTCAATAAGTGATTATATAAATCCCAGCGTGCTCATTGGAAAATAACATTTGAAACACACTACAAATGAATGAACACAACCACAGATACATCAGGGACATTTGCATGGGTTCAGATCTCCCCCACTGTCTTGACACATTATGTAAATAAACACCAAAATCTCATCTTCTTGCATCAAACAATTTATGTTTTATTATTTCCTTGTATTGGGTTAAAGCGTGTTTCTCTTTAGAGGACAGGAAAACTTGTGTGACCATCATGTCACAATGTGTGCTTGACTGTGGAGATAACCTCATATTTTGCTCATTCCACTCTTGATGCAGTTCACCATTATGCTTTGTGTTTCATGACAGGAGATTAATTTTGTCCTCTTCATTGTGAACCGTGCCTTCTTCCTTGTAAATGACTGTTGTTGGCTAACTTGTAATGGAAAATCTATAGAGGAGTACAGAGGCCAATTTTCAGCAAACTTCAGCCCTGTGTTCCAATGGCATATTGTGTTTGCTAATCCAAGTTTATCACTTTAAAAGACTAATTGATCATTCGAAAACCCTTTCAGCAGTTGTGGGTTCCATTACAGGCTCAAAATGAACAGAAACACAGAACTTTCTTCTGAAACTCATCAGTCTATTCTTGCTCTGAGAAATGAAGGCTATTTGAAGTACATCACAAAAGTAGCCCTGTCAGATTCTTTGAAAACAAGCTATGACATCAGAGAGGTGGTTCACCCCTGATAAACTACTTGTCTCCTTAGAATAGCTGAAGAAGATTGCCGCTACATTTTCTTCACTATGCACTAGCATCCTAATCATCCGGACTGTTGTAAATATACACAGTGTATAAATAGAGGGCACTGAGACCTGAGACATTTGGATCCAGTTCCGAGGAGGAAGAGGTTTGTGTTCTGCTGCACTGGATGATTTGGTGTAGGGTGTCCATGACTGCGGTCAGGTTTGGGGGGTGACCGCACAAATTTTAGATCCGCTCCTGCCGTCACTACTGCACTGCAGGCACAGTGCAACATTTCATCTGCTTAATGGTGGATTAAAGCATCCTGCGGGCAGATTGATATAGGCTGGTGCTATCACTTGTCTTTAACGAAGAGCGAAAGCCCATGGAAACAAGCTAGATATAGCAGCTGGATCAGACCCAAACACTGGGCAGCACATCACTGTAGAAGGAAATTATAAAAATATTATATGGCTCGTGAAATTAAACAGGACTGATCCATATGAGTCCTTCAGTGATGAGCTCAAACCACACACAGCATTTAATTCTACTTTATTGTGTGTTAAATAGCAGATAACTGTATTATCTTTAACCGCAGTGGATGAAATGGATGGGAATGTTTAACAAATAGCATCATAAAAATATGATTAATCCTCCATCAAAGTCTCTGTTTATGGTTGAGTTAGCACCAATAATGAGCTTACAACACATCTGTTACAAGACAACACCGATTCCAAAATTTTGAGAGCCAGCTACTGACCCTGGAATGTGGGCAGCGCTCAGATCTTTTAACACTGTCACTTTGAACTAAATGTGTTTGCACCTGGAGCTCATGTTTGCACTTACAGTAAAGCGAGTCGGGGGGGGGGGGGTGTAAAAGAACAGCCGGTAAAAGACTAGGGGAGCAGCAGAGGTACAGTATGGGGGACTTAACAAATGCTAACTGACCTAATAATATTTTTCTCATGTCAAAGGAGAACATGAAACCTGTGAGTTATCTGAATATTTTAGTGAGTGACAGTAAATAAAGGTTGAAGATCAAGTTCTTTATATATTGTTTTAAGGTTAAGTGGTGTTATAGGATGTTTATGAGGTTATTTTGGTTTCTAAGCAAAAAATGATGGAATATTTAGTTTCTTCTGTCTTCACTTTCATTCTGTCCATCTTGTATCACTCCTAACAGCCATAGCTTTTGGTGTCACTCTTGTCATTATCGTGGCTGGTTAAATTTTGATTTTGTTCTGCGTCCAAAATGAATGAATACTACTACATACAATACAAACTGTAAATATCTGCCTTCTATTAGCAAATAATACCAACACAACATGGGACAATGTTAGAATATTTTTTTTAATACATTCAAATGACATTCACATCATAGCAATTTTTCAGCATAACGGAAAGTGGAACAGCAAAAAGCAAAATGCAGCATCTACAGAAATATTGCATCCTAAATTGAATAGAAACACTGATTCAAATCTGACAATCCTATATTGACTTGTTTATTTATATATTATTGTTATTCTCTTTTGTAAAAGCTTACCAGAAATACTGTTATGTGACAAAAAACAGGGGTAAAAAATCTCATAACGTGTAATAAGCAGTTTTAGGTTACCAGCTTGTGAGCCTATCCCAGGATATCTTTGGCTGGGGAGTTGCTAATGGCTAATTTAACATTAGGTTAAGGGACAGCAATTGAAAATGAGCCTTTAGGCACATTTACAGTGATGCCAATCAATGTGCATTCTCCCTGTATATAAAAAATAGATTTAAAAAAAGCATCAATACTCATATTTACACTTACACTTCAACAACATCTTTCCATTTACATTATTTATTTTAACAACTAACATTCCCTGTTATACATTATTGTAAAGTTTTACCACTAACGCTCTACTTTAAGTCCCCCTATTTAGTATTCATAAGCAGTATACACACATTCAATAAATGATTTTTAAGACACTCATTCATTCATTTATTAATTTCATTGCAATCTCAATCTGTCTACAATGGTGCTGCTTTGGTTTATGGAGTGTGTACTGTATACTGTATGAGCAATGTATAATCCACAGTCAAATTCCTTGAATGTGCACGCCTACCTGGCAAATAAAACTGATTATGAATCTAGACTATAATGTATAATGTTTGTCAGTAATTATAACTTCTCCAACTGTTACAACTACAATATTGTCTCTCATTATCTGTTTATATGCAGCCCTCACTAATGGGTGTCCACAGGAAGACTTGTTGTTGACAAATATATTAATAAACAGTGAAATCTGCTTACATACTATGTTATATAAATGCTAAATTGGGGAAGGTCTTAAAATAAAACGTTAGTGTTACTAAAAAATATTAACATTTAGTCTACAAATCCAGAAAGTTGTGACTGTTTGTAAAGCACACACACACACAAAAAGCTGAGCTGATGTTTAACTTTGAAAAAACTGCTTGTTTTTTTTTGTTTCCAACAAGGATGCCGCAGCCAACTAGATTTCTCACACAGAAGTGTCATTTTCCACTGCGGTCACTTGAGTTTATGAGCCTTTCCTCAATCTGAAAGAGAGAGAGAGAGAAAAAAGGCAGAGAACAATGAACACAATGTATCCTGTCCCACTGTCCCACGTGTTCTGCAATCACCTGCTTTTTCCACTTGTAACTTCTGCTTTGACTAAGTTTATGTGGCCTTTGCCTTGCCCTTTGGCCTCTATTGAGAAACATCTGTTTGAGGGAAAGGATAAATGACAAAATCCTACTCCAAATCTCTTGATGTGATTTACGCTTAACCATTAAGTGGCTGCAAAAAAGCCATAGTCCCTGAGGGTGATGTGACAGCAGGAAAAGAAGGGCTCATCATTGGATTTATCTACATATTTGTCTCAGTAAATACATAATTAGCTGTTTCTGTTATTGCTCTTTTTACTCTTTAGGTACTTCACTTATTAAGGACAACTGCTGATACTTTCAACTGGTCTATTGCACTTTGACGGTCATTCAAATCTGACCTTATATTTCAAAGTGGCATTTTGTTCTCACAAACCCCACAACCTCAAATTTGACCTGAGTTAATCTGAACTGCATCCAGTATAAATTAGTCTGGTTTTAGACCAGTAATGTGACTACTGAGGCTCAGGTTGCAGGTAAGACTTCACATTGATCTTAGCTTACAGCTATTCTGAGTTGAGCCACGGGGATAGATAGGAATCTCTGGAGACCAGTTAGCCACTATAGTGAAACCTGGCTGCTGAAAGATTGGGCATTCCAATGGGGATTTAGTAGTGCTGAGGAAAAAGCTCAACTGAAACCATGCAAGGATGTCCATCCTCTTCAATCACCCACAAATAGTAAACCCACACAGGCCATTTAGGTAACAACAATGACACTTTGTGAAAACTATTTTTGAAGTTAAGTACATTCTTTTGTTCAGTCTTTCACCAAATTTGGCATCAGAAGCAAACAATAAGTGTCTAATAGCCTTTTGTGGAGAGATGAAATGGGTTAGAAATTAAAATCTTAATTTCACTGATAGTGTAATAGGACATAAATCAACAGCATAAATCAACATTAAATCATGTATCACTGAACTGAGCTTGTATGTGTTTTGTGGAGTGATGTCTTTACTGGGCCTGTTGACACATGGGGACACAAAAACAGAAGTCGGAACAAATGGAGCTAAAATACAATAATAAAATACATCACAACTGAAGGATTGAGTACTCCAAAAATACATCACAACTGAAGGATTGAGTACTCCAAGGTTAAGTTTCCTGAACTACAATGCCATGGGATGTTGTTCACAGCATATACAGATTCATAGGCTGTAAATAATCAGAATATTAGTTCAAACAATCCAATGGAAATATATATAGAAATAAAATCCTAGAAATATTCAAGTAATGCAGAAATATAATTTGTACTTGGAATGGTTCAGCTACAAGTGAATGTATTGTGTTTGAGCTTAAGTGCTCACACTAGTGTAAAATATACATTCTGTGTCTGATTTATTGTTCATTTTGGAATTGTGATTGGAATTTTTTCCAGGTTTGGATTAGGCTATACAGTTGCTTCTCAAAACAAAACAAAAAATCATGGAAAATCTATTTTCTTCCATAATTTAATTAAAAAGTGAAACTTTCATATATTCTAGATTCATTACACATGAAGGGACATTTTTCAAGCTTTTTTGTTTGATGATTTTAATCTTGATGATTACGGTTTACAGCACAAATCAAAACTACAGTATCTCAAAATGTATTTGAATTTTAGAATAAAGAATAATACAGAAATGTTGATCTGAGAAGAGCTCTAATCAGCTTATTAATTCAAAACACCTGCAAAGGTTTCCTGAGCTTTTAATCTCTCAGTCTAGTTCTGGTGCACACAATGAACCTTTCCACATAAAATTTTTTTGAGATACACCTGTAAATATGGTCAGCTTTAAATTTAGGTTTGGGTTAAGGTCAGGGTTAAGGCCCAGTCACACCACCATTTAGAATGGCAAATAAATAAATTCTAATAAAGACAGCAAGCAGGGATTGAGAAAAACTGTGTGCATCTTCCACATCAAGTTTTAACTGCACTTTTGCAACATTGACCAATAGTGAGACATCTTGACACGAGTATCATTAGAGGGAACATTATTGAGAGCCAGAGTGTCCAAAATGGAGGACGCTATTGTAGTTTCTTGCTGGTTACTGTGTTCTTTAATATATGCCTCCTTGGTCTGAGTATAAAAAGATGACTGGTCTGGCTAGCATGTTAGCAGTTAGCCAACTACATCAATTAGCACTGTAGAAAGTATTCATCACCAAATGTCTAGAGCCACACATTTTATGAAGAATGCGCTGATAAAATTCACTGTACCACCTTGTAGTGTGTCTGTGCTTATTGGTTAAGTGGTTATTCTTATACACTGCCACCTGTTACCTAGTACTCATTAATGTCTGGGTGTGTAATAGAATGTGGAATATATAATCATATCAGATTTTATAACAATTCTTCGTTGTTTCCACATGAATGCTTCAACATCAAATATGTCCACACATCAACTTGCATCACATGAAAGGAAACTAAAAGTTTAACATTTTTAGGAACTTCCATTCAGCATCATCTGAGATTCCACCTGAACTATCCCTTTAAACTGTGTGAGAATGATGAGAGAAAGAGATGTAATAAAGACAAGGCGTGACTCTGACAGCTTGACTGCCTGAGGAATGTGGAGCTGATGCCAGAGGCGATACCGGCAGGTGAATGAACATCCATCTGTCAGCGGGCCTCCTGATCACAGCAGCCCTGCCAACTGCACAGGCCAGGCCAGAAATGTTTAAACTAGCCTGGAGAGGACAACAGGAGAGGAAACTGTCCCTACAACTGTGGACCTCATGGGATTTGCATTCTGGGGGATTCACAGGTCACTGAAAGAGTCAGCTGCATTTGGATCTTGACATGTGGCCATGAAAGCGGTTGCATTTTCATGCTGTGCACATCTTTTTTGTGCAAAACATTTTTTTAGCTACACTAGTGGCCTGGCCCTAGGGAGTGAAATACACTATATTGCCAAACGTTTTGGCACATGAAAGTTAATGACATCTCATTCTTAATCCGTAGGGTTTAATATGGAGTTGGCCCACCCTTTGCAGCTACAACAGATTCAACTCTTCTGGGAAGGCTGTGCACAAGGTTTAGGAGTATGTTAATGGTAATTTTTGACCATTCCTCTAGAACCGCATTTGTGAGGTCAGGCACAGATGTTGGACGAAAAGGCCTGGCTCGCAGTCTCCGTTCATCCCAAAGTTGTTCTCTTAGATCGAGGTCGACTCTGTGCAGAACAGTCAAGTTCTCCACACCAAACTCGCTCATCATTATCTTTATGGACCTTGCTTTGTGCACTAGTGCGCAGTCATGTTGGAACAGGAAGGGGCCATCCCAAACTTTTTGTCCACAAAGTTGGGAAAATGAAATGTCTTGGTATGCTGAAACACTAACAGTTCTTTTCACTGGAACTAAGGGGCCAAGCCCAGCCCCTGAAAAACAACCCCACACCATATTCCCCCCTCCACCGAACCTTACACTTGGGACAATGCAGTCAGGCAAGTACTGTTCTCCTGGCAACCACCAAACCCTGACTCGTCCATCAGATTGCCAGACAGAGAAGCGTGATTCGTCACTCCAGAGAACACGTCTCCATTGCTCTAGTGTCCAGTGGTGGCATGCTTTACACCACTGCATCCGATGCTTTGCATTGCACTTGGTGATGTAAGGCTTTGATGCAACTGCTCAGCCATGGAAACCCATTCCATGAAGCTCTCTACGCACTGTTCTTGAGCTAATCCAAAGGCCACACGACGTTTGGAAGTCTGTAGCCATTGACTCTGCAGAAAGTTGGCAACATCTGCACACTGTGACCCCGCTCTGTTTTTACTTTATGTGGCCTACCACTTCGTGGCTGAGTTTCTGTTGTTCCCAATCTCTTCCACTTTGTTGTTATACCACTAACAGATGACTGTGGATTATTTAGCAGTGAGGAAATTTCATAAATGGATTTATTGCACAGGTGGCAACCTATAACGTTACCACGCTTGAATTCACTGTGCTCCTGAGAGCGACCCATTCTTTCAAATGTTTGTAGATGCAGTCTGCATGCCTAGATGCTTGATTTTATACACATGTGGCCATGAAGTGATTGACACACCTGAATTAAATGATTCGTAGGGGTGTCATACTACTATTGGCAATATAGTGTATCTTGACAACTATGGGATGTTTTGCTATGAGATTTGGTGCTGATATTCTAGATCCCTAGGCGGAAAATTCATCTAGTAGATGAACTGGTGCAACATTTTGTACAGACATTCATGCTTCTCAATTTGTCAAGTACTTTGGTTTATGTAAAATTAATGACATCTCCATCAGCCTCTGCTATACTTTGTGTTTAGTGCCAATTAGCAAATGTTAGCATACTAAGATGATGAACGTGGTAAACACGTAAACATTACCTTTTAAACATCAACATGTTATCATTGTCATTGTGAGCATGCTAGCTTTAGCATTTAGCACAAAGAACTGCTGTGCCACCAGCAATCAACCAGAGTGATTGTTTACTTTTAAGTTATTTATTCATTTTCAGCAACATTTAACAGATCTTGTCCCAAAGGAATCAACAACATAAACAAAGCCTAAGAAACCAATGAATGACAAATTTCTAAACTGCAGTAAGTTGTTTTTACTTCAACATAACCTAGACAGCTGTTTCCTCTTTGGTGAGTTGCAAAAAAGAACAAAGCATTAGTAACTTCTCAGTGTCAACGCACCATGGTCAATAGATCACCAAATGTCAAGGGTGTGATTGTTCACGGCTAACCCACGGTGATTCTCATCATGGAGTACTGACACTATTTCTGTATTCTCTTCAAATTGTTTTCACAGGGACCAGGGTCTGAATGTAGTTCTGGGGTCTTCATTTTACCCCCTAAAAAGACCCTGCTCGGGGGGTAGTACTTTCCGAAAGTACCGGGTACTTTGGGGGGGCGGGGCTTGCCTTGCAGTGAATTTCTGAA